AGTGGTGTGGGAAGATGAAGAAAGGGAGGGATTCTGGAATGTGGGAGATAAAGTGAGCAGAACTTGCTGACTGATTGACCCTCAGGATATAAAAACTAAAAAAGTGGACTGGGGATGTAGTTTAATGGTAGAATGCCAGAATGAGGCCTAGTTTATACCACACACACACACACACACACACACACACACACACACACACATCTAGGGAGTATAGGAAGTACTTTCAAACACTCTGGGTTGGATGAGTCCCTGCAGCTTTCAGATGGTCCACAGTACAGTCATCTGAGCCTGAAACCCAGATTATGGGCGATAATACTGAATTGGGAGACACCAGTAAATAGGAGATACAGAAAGTAGAGCTGGGCATGGTGACTCATGGCTGTAATCCTAACTACTCAAAGATTAAAATTAGAAGGACCTAAGTTTGAGGCCAGGCTGGGTATAAAAGTTCTTGAGATTCCCCATCTCAATCAATGAAAAGCTGAGTGTGATGACATTTGCCTGTCATCACAGTTATGTGAGAATCATGTAACTGACATGGTTACAACGCAAGACCCATGAATTCAAAGATTAGTGAGAGTAGAAAAGGCTAGAGGAGTGGTTCAAGTGATAGAGCACCTGTCTAGCACATTCAAGTCCCTGAATTCAAATCCCAGTACTGCCCCCAAACAACAACAACAACTACTACTACTACTTGAAAGAGGAAAGAAGGGAGAAAAGAGAGATGCAACTATCAGGGAGGCCAGTATGAAATACCACAGGAGGTTCCTAATACTGGGCCACAGGGTAAGGTCACAGCAACCCAGCAGGAAGATGTCACTGGCAACTGGTGGCCAGAGAAGGTTCAGTGAAAGGTGAGATACAGAACAGACTGTGATTGGAGAAAAGGAAAGGAGGCAGAATGTGGACTCTGAAAAAAAGAAACAGCAGAGGGAAGCGAGACAGGGGGATGGGTGGGGAGGAGATAGTGGACAGGGATAATTTTCCTGGAAGACACTTGGGAGGTTTATCATAATAGACTGGAAGCACATAAAGGGGAAGGGGTTGAAGGAGGAAGGAGGGTCCCAGAGCATAGTGGAAGGTAGGGGCATAGGTAACAAAAGCTCTGAGAGGGGAAGGGGAGCTTAAGCTGTCTGTTTGGCCTAGGGTGCCAAGCAGGGAGTCAAGTGGAACACAGGTGGGAGAGAAGATGAAGGGGTCCTGGCAAGAACAACTCCAGGAGGTCAACTGTTAAGATGGCTGAAAGATTGAGAAGCTGACAGGAAAGGAAACGTTTCTGCTGGGAGTCTGCATGAAAAGTTGGAATGGACGGATGAGGAAAGGGAAGTGGACTCTGAGGGAGATGGAAGGAGGTTTGATAGCAGAGCCTGGGAGAGGAAAGGAAGACACCCAGGCTGAGGCCAATGATTGGCCAGGAGATGTGACCAACAAGGAAGAAGATGTAACTGTGCCAGGCACCTTGAGGAGCTGCCCAGAAATGAGCCCTGGGAAGCAGTGCCAGGAAAATAGCCAGCCTTGATCTGGCCTCTGATTGTCTCCTGTTAATTATGCTCATTCACATCCCACAGGAACTAGAATACAGCATGGGCAAGGGCTCTGAGGCCTGATGTCAAGCGGGGACATCTACTCCTGGACACTGGGACAGCCCTTCTTGACTTGCTAGAAGCCCAATCTAAACTTTCTAAAGGAAGTAGAAATGTCCCCAGTCCCCTAATTAGTACAGTAATAGGTCCATATATAAAATGTGATTCCACACAGCCTGAGGCCTCCTCTACTAATGAGAAGACTAATGAGAAACTTTCATGGCCTTCTGTGATCTTACTGGTATCCCTACCTCCTGGGGGCGGGGGAAGGGCAGAAAAGACATTTTCTAAGACTGGAGGGAGAGACCTGCCATCATCAGCAGGAGGAGCCTTTTTTTTTTTTTTTTCCATTTTGTTTGGAAGCCTGGATTAAACACAAGACACACAAGCTGTCCACTGCATCATTAACAAGGAGAGACTTCACAGGTGTAATTCTCATCCGCACTAGGAAAGAGACACCTTTTACAAGGTGAAATAGTGTGGCCTTAATGAGTGTGTAACTCCGTTAATGGCTTTGTTGGTTTCCTTTCATAATAGGGGGGGAAATGGAGTTCTTCTGGTTTTCGTAGAGATGCACAAGACCTGGTGCCTCTGGAAGGAGAGGTCTGCTCGCGTGCTGTGGGGACGTAGGGGCCTGGATCTCCTTGCAAATGCTTGCCTGGCAGGCATGAGGGCCCCCCTGGCTTCACCGCCAACATCAGAACTGAGTTCTGGAAAGTTCTGAGGCTCTGTCCCGGGCTCAGACACCTACCGATACAGCCAGAGTCACGGCGTCCAGCTCCACCTTGCCCAGGTGTCCGCAGAATATCGAGCTGACGATGCTGATGAGAAAGAGCATCAGCTGGGCCAGGAACTACGGAAGGGCCAGAAAGGAAAGCGGGGTCACCCTTCCCGTCCCCCCCCACTCCCGCCCATCATCACCAAGACCGCGACGGGAAGGGGTGCTCCGGGCTGGGCGTGGGGGAGAAACCGCCCCCCCACCCCCTCCGGCCGCCCAGCTCACCACGGGGCCCGCGAGCGCCGTCAGCTCCGCCGCCTCCCGCAGCACTTCGGGGGACAGCGCGCCCCGCAAGCCCCGCAAGCCGCCGGGCCACCGGGGGATATCAGGCCGCCGCTCGGGGCTCAGGGTGACGGTGGCCAAGTCCAGCCTGTCGGGGGCGCCCTCCAAGGGCTCGACGACCGCGGGGGGCTCCATGCCGGCGTCCGGAGAGATCCAAGCCAGCCCGTGGGGCGCCCTGAGGGAGGTGGAGACCGAGACGACCCCGCCCCGCCGGCCAATGCCCCTCAGCGGGGGCGCGGGTACCTCAGCGACCTGGCCACGCCCCGGCCACGCCCCCGGCCACGCCCCCGCGCGAGCCCCCTGTCCAACCACCAATGCCCGCAGAACCCCGGGGAGGGTCGGGCCTGGGGAAGCCCCCCTCCCACTCCTACACACACACACACACACACACACACACACACACACACACACACACACACACACACACACACACACACCCATGGGGAAGCCCCCCTCCCACTCCTACACACACACACACACACACACCATGGGGAAGCCCCCCCACTCCTACACACACACACACACACACACACACACACACACCCATGGGGAAGCCCCCCTCCCACTCCTACACACACACACACACACACACCATGGGGAAGCCCCCCACTCCTACACACACACACACACACACACACACACACACACACACCCATGGGGAAGCCCCCCTCCCACTCCACACACACACACACACACCATGGGGAAGCCCCCCCACTCCTACACACACACACCCATGGGGAAGCCCCCCTCCCACTCCTACACACACACACACACACAAACACACACACCCATGGGGAAGCCCCCTCCCACTCCTACACACACACACACACACACACACACACCCATGGGGAAGCCCCCCTCCCACTCCTACACACACACACACACACACACCATGGGGAAGCCCCCCACTCCTACACACACACACACACACACACACACCCATGGGGAAGCCCCCCTCCCACTCCTACACACACACACACACACACACACCCATGGGGAAGCCCCCTCCCACTCCTACACACACACACACACACACACCATGGGGAAGCCCCCCACTCCTACACACACACACACACACACACACCCATGGGGAAGCCCCCCTCCCACTCCTACACACACACACACACACACACCATGGGGAAGCCCCCCCACTCCTACACACACACACCCATGGGGAAGCCCCCCTCCCACTCCTACACACACACACACACACACACACACACCCATGGGGAAGCCCCCTCCCACTCCTACACACACACACACACACACACCCATGGGGAAGCCCTCCTCCCACTCCTACACACACACACCCATGGGGAAGCCCCCCCTCCCACTCCTACACACACACACCCATGGGGAAGCCCCCCCTCCCACTCCTACACACACACACACACACACACACACACCCATGGGGAAGCCCCCCTCCCACTCCTACACACACACACACCATGGGGAAGCCCCCCTCCCACTCCTACACACACACACACCATGGGGAAGCCCCCCCTCCCACTCCTACACACACACACACACACACACACACACACACACACCCATCTCCATCCCCGAGGCAGGGGCGCTTAGGGGTCAAGAATGGAGGATGAGGAGGTCTTCTTTATCCAGACTAAAAAGCAAAAATGTCATTTGTCACCCTCCACGCCCTCAGAGCACCTTTGGATGGACGTGGATGAGGATACCCCCAACCTCTGCTCCTTGCAGGACAAGGTCATCTTTGGAACCTCTGGGTTCCTTGTCCTTGCATCTGCGCTTGTTTTAGGCTGGATGGAGGAACTCTGTATCTCTGGGACCAGGCAGAAAGTGTGAGACACCCCCTAAAAGACTAGGGGTGTCCTGTGGAGAGGGGTCTGAGGCACCCTGAAGAACTGGGAAAGGGGGGTTCTCTGGGATGCCTCAGTCTCCGCAGGCCCCCTCCAGAAGGGCATAATCTTACTGTGGGTCCTTGGAAAATGATACGAATTTATACATCCAAGAAGAATGACTCCCGAGGGCAGAGATGTCTTATGGTGGTCCCCACCAAAAATCGGTGCTCGGAAGGCTGGGGACACACTCTGCATACAGGGGAGCAAGAAGGGAGGCCTGGGGTTCCAATAAAAATTCAGCAGTTGGGTGGGGTTTTTTTGTTTGTTTTTTGTTTTGGGTCTGGTCGTGGCGCCTCTGAACTCTGGGCCTGGGTGCTGTCCCTCAGCTCTTCAGCTCAAGGCTAGCGCTCTACCACTTGAGCCACAGCGCCACTTCCAGCTTTTTTCTTTCTGCTTATGTGGTGCTGAGGAATCGAACCCAGGGCCTCAGGCATGCAAGGCAAGCACTCTACCACTGAGCCACCTTCCCAGCCCGTTCTAGCACCCAGGGTACGTGGTTTAGATCAAGATTTGCTCTGTGAACTTAACCCTACTAAGGGCTGAAAGAAACAGGGTAACTAGTTAATAATCTAAAGACTTTATTAAAGCTTTGTCCTCTGGACACAGCCAGGAACCAGCACTCTTGTTTGTATCTTCCCAGCTCTCCAACTATGCACCCGTAGTGTCTGAGGTCTGGCCTTTCCAGGTAAAGATGACAAGTGCCATTGGTCAATTGAATAAAATGTAGGACACAGGAAACTTATATTGAAAAATGTATTTTAAGTAATTCATACAGGAGGCATTCTGAAGCATTTTATATATGCGTTTGTGTCTTAGAAAACAGTAGGTAGAAGAAACAGGGAAGCATACAGGAGGAATTCTGAAGCATTTTATGTATGGTCTGTGTCTTAGAAAACAGTAGGTAGAAGAAACAGGGAAGCATAGATTCCTAGGTAAGTATTCAGGGGTCCCTGATCCAGACAGGGATTCTTACTCGAACCTCATTCGTCTTGGTCTAAGATACAATATTCACCTTAGGTCCTTCATTAGAAATATACATCTTTGCCAGGAACCCATGGCTCCTGCATGTACTCCTAGCTACTCAGGAGGCTGAGATCTGAGAATTAAAGTTGGAAGCCAACCTGGGCAGGAAAGTCTGTGAGACTCTTATTTCCAATTAACTGCCAAAAAGCCAGAAGTGGAGGTGTGGCTCAAGTGGTAGTGTGTGTGTGTGTGTGTGTGTGTGTGTGTGTGTCTGTGTGTGTGTGTATGTGTGTATGCCTTTGAATTCTCAATTCTAAAAACCTATAGGCACAGCTAAATTATGTACATACCTTAAAACTGCCACTTCTGGGCCTGTGCCTTAAGGAGGCGCCAATTTCCATCAGTTCAACTTTACACTGAATTCAGTAGAAGCTACTTTGAAATCTGAATTTAGAGCTTTTCCCCAAACCAGTGCTATGTAATACCATCCTCTCTTGAAAGAAAAGACAGCCACAGTAAGTGGCAGCTTTCTGTCAGCCCTGCAAGTCATGAAAGTAAGCAATGTTCTACAGTGTGTTGTTACAAACTTTGATGTTTTGTAGATAGATGTATATGTTAAAAGCATTATGGACTTAAGGTTTCTCTTTCCTTTTTCCTCCTTTCTTCCTTCTTTTCTTTCTTCTTTTCTATTTCTCGTGTGTGTGTGTGTGTGTGTGTGTGTGTGTGTGTGTGTATGTATGTGTGTGTGTGTGTGTTCATGCTAGGAATTAAACCTAGCGCATGCTAAGCTCTACCATTGAGCTGCACCCCTAGTCCTGACTTATTTTCAAGTTACAATGGGCTTGTCCAAAAGTAATTACATCCTAAGTCTGGAAGCACCTGTGTCATGTGACCTGATTCTCTTTCTCCTGCCATATCACTGGATTCTTACATATACTCTTACTAAAATCCCTGCCACCAAGACTAAAACAACCCCCAAGAGCACAAGCCCTCGACGGAACACCAACTGTTTTCCAGACAATGTATTGCTGTCTGCTGGATGCTCAGGCAAAGGTTGCTGTTGGTGCATCCGTGGGTTCAATTGAGCCTCGTCCCTTTTTTCAATATCTCTCATTACAATTTCTTCATGGTTTTCAGTACCCTCTGTAGAGAATAAAGGATTTTAGTTAGCATGTTGAAAGGAAAATTTTGTTTCTAACTGTATGAAAGAGGATAGAGATTGTGTGCTACTTGTTAGGAGAAAGATATTTTAGGAAGCAGTTGCTACAGTGGTTAAATGAATCAAATTGGGAGACAAGAACTTATAGGCACAACCTCCTATACTTGTTGTGAGGGAGGTAATTGTTTTACCTTTAACTGTTAACATTTCTTAAGCTGAGTGAGGGTAGCTCATGCCTGTAATCCTAGCTACTCAGGAGGCTGAGATCTGAGGATTGTGGTTTGAAGCCAGCCTGGGCAGGAAAGTCAGTGAGACTCTTATTTCTAATAAACTGCTCAAAAAAGCCAGAAGTCAAGCCAGACACCCGTGGCTCACACCTGTAATCTTCAGGAGGCTGAGATCTAAGGTCAGCCCAGGTAGAAAAGTCCCTGTGAGACTCTTATCTCCAATTAACCACCAGAAAACTGGAAGTGACGCTGTGGTTCCAGTGGTAGATCGCTTGCCTTGGGCTGAAGAGCTTAGGGATAGTGCCCAAGCCCAAAGTTCAAGCCCCACAACTGAAAAAAAAAAAAAAAAAAAGCCAGAAGTGGCACTGTGGTTCAAGTAGTAGAGTGTTAGCCTTGAGCATATAGAGGCTCAGAGACAGAGCCAAGGCTCTGAGTTCAAGCTCCAGGACAGGAAAAATTTTTTTTTTCTTCAAAGTATTTTTTGTTTATTTATGTGTTTTAGGTGCGGCTCTCCCGAGAAAACACGAAAGAACCAGCCAAAATCACTAAATTAAGCTGAATCCCATTATTGAAGCGAATCTAAAGTGAGCTCTGCTCATTACAATTTCATTCTAATTGTATATTCTCCACCCTAGAGGCTGGTCTAGTTAACATTTTTATTTATTTATTTTTTTTTGGGGGGGGGGGTCTGGTCATGGGGCCTGAACTCTGGGCCTGGGCGCTGTCCCTCAGCTCTTCAGCTCAAGGCTAGCACTCTACCACTTGAGCCACAGCGCCACTTCTGGCTTTTTTCTTTTAGCTTATGTGGTGCTGAGGAATCGAACCCAGGGCCTCTGGCATGCAAGGCATGCACTCTACCACTGAGCCACCTTCCCAGCCCCTAGTTAACATTTTTAATATGCAAGGCACACTCTCCAACTGAGCATGCTTAGGAGTGTTCCTAAGCATATGATGAGGTATGTTTCCCCCACAAAACCATTCCCAGTACACTCCTGGGAATGACCAATTCACTCTTATTTCCCTGATATGTTTGTGGGCTTTGTGCTCACAAAGAACAAAACCCATTACATTTGGTTACATTACATTGCATTCCTCTCTATTCACCGCTGTCAACCTGGGGCTCTAGGGAGCTCCTTTGTTTAAGAGTTTCTAGGGGCCAACACCCGTATAATAAACATTCCATTTGGTATATCGGGCAAGTGGCCAAACCTGATCCTAAGCCAGGAATTTCAGACAGCATGAATAAAAACTAAGGAAAAGCAGAATTGACCACTGCCAGAAATTTAGCCATCTAAGAAGTCCAAAGAGCTTATTACAGTGGGGCCAAAATGCGGCTATAGGACACTAGAATAAGCCACCCAAATATACTCTTCTTTGGTATATTTCAAAATGGTTATTTTGAGAAACTGCAGATAGTAGCTTTGAAAAGCTATCTGTAAGGCATTCGCAACTATGAAGAAAATCGCCATCAGTAAAAACATCTGTCTTGAGAAAATGGCTGTTCCAGACAACTTTTATTATTATAGAGACATTATCTGAATAACAAGACCACAGGCCACTTTTATTCACTATAGATTTCTTTCCCTCATACTTCTTCCATAACTTGGGTAGCCACCATCTCTCAGAAGTTTCACATCCTGTTTCTTTTCTGTAGTTCAGAGTACTATATATGTAAGCTTCAGTCATCAGACCCTTCTTCAGACCTCCTGTTTCCTAGGACTTTTCTGTTTATGGTTGTAATTAAATATTGCTTTCTCCTGCTAATCTGTCATGTCAGTTTAATTCACAGCCCAGCCACAGAAAGTAAGAGGTCCTTTGGAACAACAAACTAATGTGACTAACTGCTCAAGGAACTGGGTAGGTAGAGGGAATACTAAATTGGCAGGAACCGCCCCCCTACCCCCACCCCATAACCAAATTTCCTCAGAAGCAATGGTCCAAAGAAGCTTCTTGAAGAAGCAAGTGATGTCTAAGGACCACCAGGGACCCATTAACACAAACATGCAAATGTCACTTTCTGAGATGTTCCACACACAGCTGTGCCATGTTATCACACGTTTCTTTGGCAGAAGCCATGTCTGTTTGAGGCAATGGATGTGCTAGTCTCCCCAATCTGATCATTACACATTTGTATACCTGTATTAACATACCATATTGTACTGCAGATATGCACAAGTATTCTGTGTCAAGTATAAATTTGAAGCCAGGAGCCAGTAATTCACACTTGTAATTCTAGCTACTCAATCTTGATCTTGATTCAAATACAGCCTGGGCAGATAAATTAGAGACTCTTATATCCAAACTAACCAGCAAAAGGATAGAAGTGAGGGTGTGGCTTAAATTAGTAGAGCACTAGCTTTGAACAAAAGAGCTCAGAGAGAGTACCCAGGCCCAATACACACACAAATACATATATATGTGTTTATAAATATATTAAAACCCCTTCTATAAAATATATATAATTTATAAATTTATATAATATGTATCATATAAAATACAAATTTCTATAAATGTATATAATATAAGGTAATATATTATTATATAGGTTATATAAATCTATAAATTATAATATATGTCTATAAATGTATATATAGGATATGAATTTTATAGATTTCTATAAATTATGTTAAGTTATTTTTATTTTTAAATTTAATAACATGCATGTAAATTTAATAATTTTAGTTTTCTGTTGGTGGTGGTGGTGTTCATGGGGCTTGAACTCAGGGCCTGGGCACTGTCCCTGATCTCTTTTGCTTAAGGCTAGTGCTCTACCACTTTAGCATCACTTCCAGTTTCTTTTCCTGGTGGTTAATCAGAGTCTCACAGATCTTCTTGCTGGGGTTGGCTATTAACTGCAGTTCTCAGATCTCAGCCTCTTGAGTAGCTAGGATTATAGGTGTCAACCACTAATGCTCAGCTTAGAAATTATTTTATAAGTTCTTTTATATTTTAAAATTTAAGCTGAGTAACAGTGGCTCGGATCTGTAATCCTAGCTACTCAGGAGACTGAGATCTGAGGATCATGGTTCAAAGCCATCCTGGGCAAAAACTCGGTGAGACTCTAATCTCCAATAAACTACTCAAAAATCAGTATGTTTATGGAATTGAAGCAAAGGAACTTTAAGTCAAATTACTTCAAAATAAGTGTGACTTGACTTTCTCTTTTGTTTCTAAACTTCAGTGCCTTCATCAATGGGCGCTCACTGCAGCCAATCTACTTGTGTCCCACATATGACCCCTTGGTCCTTCCTCTCTGGCCTTTGCCAGAGCTGAGATTATTATAACCTACCTGAATGAACTGGATCATGAGAGACAGCAGAATTCCCATTCAGAGCCACATTTACCTTCAAATTGGCATGTACCTGAGCCTAAAAAGTAAAAACACAAAGCAAGTGCACAAGGCATTAGACCATGTTGCTGAGACATTTCACTTGACTGTAATGGAAACTTCTCTAAATCAGTAGGATCCTCTGAAAAAGACTGAAATGGCCCTTTGCTACCTCCTATTTCCAGACCTCGTGTTGATCTTGAAAAGGCAATGAGAAAGGAGTGAACAAGTATCTTAGAGAAATATTTGGAGATCATCAAAGCCAATATTAGGATAAACTTGGGAGACTTTCTTTCCCGGTCCAATTCTCATCCTGAAATTGGCTTTTTAGGCAGAAAGGCAAGAATTGGCTAGCATAGGGTGGGAAGAACCAGCTATATTTTCTATTCACTGAATAAACAAAGGAAAAATGATTCAGGACAGGATCACATCTGAAAATCCAGTTAAAACCAAACCAAACCAAAAAGCATAATGATAATATAAGAGGAATGAACCCGCCAATATGGAAGAACGTCTCACGTTGGATCCTGTTTATTTTCTAGGTAAGGAACAGCAAACACAATTACCTGTTGGCAAGCCTGTTTCCAATTGAGGTGAGAAATGAAGGCTAGAAAACACACAGCCTGCAAAACAGTGCAGATGATGATCCCCAACCACAGACCTGGACAAGGAAACGGGAGATGGGTTAATTCTGGAAATTGGCTGCCCTGCAGAGGACATGGCTCCACTTCACTTCTGTGGGCTGGGTCTGAGAATCTGCGTTTCAGGCAGAGGTGGAACCCACAGTGGGCCAGACACCTCTAATCTGCTCTCTTCCAGAATGTTCTAGAAGGTCCAGTATTCCTTGCAGCCACCTCCTGTGAGAACAAAGGTCTGGGAGGCTATTTTTGGCCTTGGTGATTTTAATACTTGGGTACTGAGAAAAATGGCAGCTACAAGGTAAAATTTCACAGGATGAACTACTTCCACCCTATATGACTCAAAAGAAATGATGTGAGTTCTCAAGATGGCGACGGGGCAGTAGGGAAACGCCACAGCTCTCTCCAACCAAAAAGAGAGTTCGAGTTCCAACCTTTAATCTCCCCAAGAGACCGACAACAACAAAAAGACGAACACTCAGAGAAAAACCAGAGGTGGAAAATAACAAAAAAAGAAAGAGAGGAAAAGAAGAATTTCAGAACAGAGAAGAGCGAAGACCCCTCCCCCAACCTTTACTGGCCGCGCGGCAGTGCGCCAAGCCGCCGGCCAGCCGGCCCGGCAGGGGCTGCCGGAGCCACAGAGACACAGGGGGCTGCTTGCAGATCACCAGGTACCGGATTGCAGAACAGCGGATCGCCAGGAACAGAGAAACCTACCAGCCGGGAGTCTCCAGGAGGATCCCACCCCACCCATCACTCTCCACCGGAGCGGAGAGGCTCCATCCCGCCAAAGCCGCCCGGCACCAGCAGCGCCACAAAGGGACCTGTCGCGATCGCAACGACCCGGCGGGGGGCCGCCCAACCCAGCCCGCAACCACCCCAACTGAACTCGGACTGCAACAACAACTGACGGACTGCAACAACAACTGACGACCTACAGGAGAATCAGCAACCAAGCAAAGACAGACACACCAAAACAAGATTGAAGAGCAGTCTCCTGAACCCCCATGCGAAAATCACAGAGAAAAATCACAAGGTTTACCACTACCCAGGACAGCAAGCTCACCTCAAAAGCCAGCAGCCACGCAGGGGAGAGCCCCAGTGGGAGCAAAGCAGGATTGGAAGACAAAAACTACATCCAAGGGTTGCTGGAGGCAATGACTCAAGAAATAAAGCGAGAAATGGATCAGAAATTGAAAGAGCACAAGGATGAACTATCAAAAGATATACAGGATATCAAACAAAAATTGGATGCAAAAATAGAAGCTGCACAAACCTCAGTAAGAAGTGAGATAAACGCCAAATTAGAGGTAATGCATACTGATATCACCTCATTGAGAGGTGAGATCAGTACTCTGAGAACCAACATTGAATCCATAAAGGGATCCATTTCCATCATGCAAACCACAATAGAAGCCACGGTCAACAGAGTGAATGAAATGGAAGGTAGAGTGTCAGATACAGAAGACAGAATACACCAACTGGACCAAAAAGTGACAGATATGGAAAAATCACTCAAATTAAACCAAAGGGAAATTCAAGAGCAAGCAGATAATGCTAAAAAATTTAACCTTCGCATAATCGGAGTGGACGAAGGTGAGGAATTCCAGAGCAAGGGAATGCAACACCTATTTAACAAGATAGTCAATGAAAATTTTCCCCACCTCAAAAACGACCATCTTAACTACATCACAAAAGCTTATCGAACACCCAACAAGCAAGATCCCAGGAGAAACACTTCTAGGCACATAATAGTAACAATGATGGATCTGAATAATAAGGAAACAATCCTGCATGCAGCAAAAATGAAGAAGGAGCTATACTACAACGGGAAAAAAATTAGAATCACTGCAGATCTCTCCACACAAACAATGAATGCAAGAAAAGCCTGGGAAAGCACCATACGAGCCCTGAGAGCCAATAACTGCCAACCCAGACTGATATACCCGGCAAAGCTAGCATTCACATTCGATGGAGAACTGAAAACTTTTAATAGCAAAGAAAAACTAAATGAATACATAAACATTAAGCCAGCATTACAAAGAATTCTAAGAGGGGGGACACAACCTGAAGAAAGCAACCAGGAACTGGGACCTGCCCCAAACAGGCATTACTCAAAGTCTAACTGAGCAAGCACAGGAGGAAAGGAAAGAAGAAAAACTTAGGAAAACGGAATGGCAGGGACAACAATGCATCTCTCTATACTTTCTCTTAATATAAATGGGCTGAATTCGCCAATTAAAAGAAAACGAACTGAGGACTGGATCAGAAAACAAGACCCATCCATCTGTTGCCTTCAGGAGACCCACCTCTCAGCCAAACATACAAACAAACTCAGAGTGAAGGGGTGGAAAAGGATCTACCAATCAAATTCCCCCAATAAGAAAGCAGGTGTAGCTATCCTGATATCTGACAAAATAAACTTTTCATTAAAATCAGTACAGAAAGACAAGGACGGACATTACATATTAATAAAGGGAACAATCCAAGAGGAGGATATAACCATCATCAACTTATATGCCCCAAATATCGGTGCACCCAGATATGTTAAACAAATGCTCTCAAACTTACAGAATAAAATAGATCCCAATACGATAATACTAGGAGACTTTAACACGCCACTCTCACCAAAGGACAGGTCTACCAACCAGAGGATTGGCAAAGAAGCTACCGAATTAAGTGAGGCCATACTTCAAGCGGAATTAACTGACATCTACCGAGTATTTCACCCTAAAACAACACAGTACACATTCTTCTCAGCAGCTCATGGAACTTTCTCCAAAATAGACCATATCATAGTTCATGCAAGGAACTTAAGCAAATACAAAGGGATCGACATAATCCCCTGTATCCTATCTGACCACAGTGGAATCAAGCTAGCTCTCAATAACAAAGCATACCGCAGAAATTTCTCTAATACATGGAAATTGAACAGCACACTCCTTAACAAGGCCTGGGTAACAGAAGAGATCAGAGAAGAAATAAAGCATTTCCTAGAACCCAATGAAAATGAAAACACCTCACAAAGAAACTTGTGGGACACAGCAAAAGCAGTCCTGAGGGGCAAATTTATTGCCCTCAGTGCCCACATCAAGAGAATGGAGACAGACCAAGTAAATAATCTCATGTTGCAACTAAAACAGCTAGAAAAACAAGAAAAAATGGGACCTAAAGCTACTAGACGAAGCCAGATAACCAAATTGAGAGCAGAGATTAACCAATTAGAAAATCAGAAAACCATAACCAAAATAAACCAAACAAAAAGCTGGTTCTTTGAAAAAATAAACAAAATTGATGGCCCGTTGGCAAGATTAATTAAAAAAAGAAGAGAGGAAACCCATATTAATAGGATTAGGGATGCCACGGGAAACATCACAACACGTACCCAAGATATCCAAACAATTCTAACAGACTACTTTCAAAAGCTATACTCTCTAAAGGAAGAAAATCTGGCGGAAATGGATGCATTTTTAGAGAAATACAAGTTACCCAAACTGAGCAAAGAAGAAGTTAACCAATTAAATAAGCCAATATCCTATAATGAGATACAGGAAGCTATCAAAAGTCTTCCAACAAAAAAAAGCCCAGGACCAGATGGATTCACAGCAGAATTCTATAAGACCTTTAAAGAAGAACTAATACCCATACTCCTCAAGCTCTTCAGAGAAACAGAGAAGGAGGGAGCTATCCCAAACTCATTCTACGAAGCCAATATCACACTCATCCCCAAACCAGGCAAAGACCCAACCAAAAAGGAGAATTACAGGCCAATCTCCTTGATGAACACAGATGCAAAGATCCTTAACAAGATTCTAGCTAACAGAATCCAGAAACACATAAAAAAAATAATACACTATGATCAGGTAGGCTTCATCCCAGAGACACAGGGATGGTTTAACATACGTAAGTCAATAAATGTAATCCAGCATATCAACAGAGCCAAGGTCAAGAATCACATGATTATCGCCACAGATGCAGAAAAGGCCTTTGATAAAATTCAACATTCATTCATGCTAAAAGCTCTGGAGAAAATAGGAATAGAAGGAACATTTCTAAAAACAATAAAAGCCATTTATGACAGACCAATAGCCAATATTATACTTAATGGGGAAAAGCTACAACCAATCCTCCTAAAAACAGGAACAAGGCAAGGATGTCCACTGTCTCCACTCCTCTTCAACATAGTCCTAGAACCCTTAGCCAGGGCAATAAGGCAAGAAAAAGACATTAAAGGGATCCGCATAGGGAAAGAAGAAGTGAAACTATCCCTTTTTGCAGACGACATGATACTATACCTCCACGATCCCAAAAACTCCATCCCCAAACTTTTAGAAATCATAAGTCACTTCGGCAAAATAGCAGGATACAAAATAAACCCACAAAAATCAGTTGCCTTCCTATACACTGATAACGCACAGGAAGAGAGGGAAATAAAGGGAGCAACCCCATTCACAATAACCTCCCAAAAAATAAAATATTTAGGAATTAACCTAACCAAAGATGTAAAAGAACTATTTAATGAGAACTATAAAAAGTTAAAGAAAGAAATTGCAGAAGACACTAGGAAATGGAAAGACCTCCCATGCTCCTGGATAGGCCGACTTAATATAGTAAAGATGGTGATACTTCCAAAATTAATATACAAATTCAATGCAATTCCTATTAAAATCCCAATGACGTACATCACTGAAATACAGAAAACAGTCCAAAAATTTATATGGAACAACAAAAGACCTAGAATAGCCAAAACAATTCTAGGGGATAAAGACAATATGGGAGGGCTATCCATGCCGAACTTCAAACTCTACTACAGAGCTATAATCACAAAGACAGCATGGTACTGGCACAAAAACAGACCCGAAGACCAATGGAACAGAATAGAAGATCCAGATATAAATCCACAGGCCTACAGCCAGCTGATATTCGACAAAGGAGCCAAAGACATACAATGGAAGAAACACAGCCTCTTCAACCGCTGGTGCTGGGAAAACTGGGCAGCCACATGCAGAAAACTAAAAGTGGA